CCCCTCTCATATGCACCCCATTGAAAACGAGAAACCAGAACCGCCCCATATTTTCTTCCTTCCTTGATTGCGTTGAGTTTGTCACACGCGTCTGTCTGGGCTGTCCCGTATGTGTTGTTGATGGTAGGGGAATGTTTGTTAGCGGGAGAGGAAATGCTTGTTGGACTGGACGTGTTCTGTTATGGCTACACTGTTGTGAAAAGAGAATAAATAGAGACGGAACTTTATGGCTACACTGTTGTGAAAAGAGAATAAATAGAGACGGACCTTTATGGCTACACTGTTGTGAAAAGAGAAATAGAGACGGACCTTTATGGCTACATTTCTGTTCTTTTGGTATTTCTTTGCTGATTGATTGATTGATAACAAACGTGTGCAAAGATTGTATTGCAGTAACGTAAGTTTATTTATTTAGTTGTTTCTTCATGTCTACATTTGTTGTTGTGAAAAGACGTGTTGGAGAGGCCTGCATTTCTTGCTTAAATTGTGTTTGCTGGAACGTTTCTTCATAGCTTTGATATTGTTGTGAGAAGACGAGAAACGAGGTGTCTCTTGTTTATCCAAATCGTGAGAATTGGAATGTTTCTTCATGGACGGGAGATAGAGAGAGAGAGGGGGAGGGAGAGAGAGGGAGGGAGAGAGAGGGAGGGAGGGACAACTGATGTGTTCTTGTTGGGTTTACTGTTGATTGAGGCACGAGACATATAAAATGAAACACACTGTGTTTGACATGGAAACGTTTCCTTTTTTTTAAAGTGATGATACAACACGACTTTCAGCTCGCATGGAAAGATGAGAGAGAGATAGATAGATAGATAGAGAGAGAGATAGATAGATAGATAGATAGATAGATAGAGAGAGAGAGAGAGAGAGAGGGGGGGGAGAGAGAGAGAGAGAGATAGATCTAGAGAGAGAGAGAGAGATAGTACTAGAGAGAGATATAGATCGAGAGAGAGAGAGAGAGAGAGAGAGAGAGAGATCGACAGAGAGAGAGAGAGAGAGATAGATCTAGAGAGAGATATAGATCGATAGAGAGAGAGAGATAGATAGATCTAGAGAGAGATATAGATCGAGAGAGAGAGAGAGAGATAGATTTAGAGAGAGATAGATAGATAGATAGAGAGAGAGAGAGAGAGAAAGGGGGGGGGGGGCAGAGAGACAGACGGACAGTGTGTGTTTGTTAGAGGGGAGGGGATGTCTTTTTGTTTCGAGTTGCTACTTAATTAGCCAGCACTGTTATAACGTAAAGCTGAAAGTTCTTGATTAAATGACTGCTTGAACCTGTAGTGGATATAGATTTTGATTCTTGTCTCTTTTTCCATGTTATCCTAATATTATGATGTTAGCTGAATGTTTGTGCAATTGGACATCATTGGCACTACACCCCCACGGGGCAGTGCCACTGACTGTAGTGTCTTTAGGCCATTCCCAAAGGGGGGACATTTCTCGTTCATGTACAGTAGAATTGTAAATGGGCTGATTCATCAATGTCAAGCTCATAACTGTGCCTGATCTACAACAGGGAACTGCTGCTTTTACTTTCCTAATCCTTACTATTGCCATTTCCTCTACTTCTTTTGTATGTTTGTCACTCTCTTGTGACCTGCTATGCTTTTTCCGGGGTGCCTTGATAGTCAAAGCAGACCTTGTGCTGTTGAAGCTAGAGAGGTGAGCAGAGTAAGTCTGATTCCCTGTAAGGACTTCTCTGTTGACACCCACCCCTTTGCGCTCATATGACCTTATGCAGTTGCGAGCGCTGTAAAACCCTCTACTAAAACAAAAACTAAATTGGAGCTACCTCTGATTTTGCGATAGTTTTTCCTGTTTCTTTTAGATAGTCTGTACTTTTTTATTTTGTGTGGCTAGTTGGTGGGTGCTCGGTGTGGCTTGCTCCTTCTTCCCTATTTAGTTTTAGTAAGGTTTTACGGCGCTCGCAACTTCATAAAGTCACATCTTCCCTATCAGACATCTTTTGTCCTGATCTCTCCTCCCTCTTCTTAGTTGTTTGTACTCTCTGTCTCTTGTTACATCTTTAATCTTCGGCAGTGGGTGGTTGGCGGGTGCTCTGGTTTGGTTTGTTTCTTCTTTCCTATCCAACATCTATCGTCCTTATCTCTCTTCCTTCTTTTTTGTATTTATTGTTACTCTATTGTAATTCCTCAAATATTCGGCTCTTATATGACCATATTTTGTTGCCAGTGCCGTAAAACTCGTACTAAAACTAAAACTTCTGCACTTATATGACCTTTTTGTGTTGCAAGTGCAGTAAAAGTCTTACTAAAACTAAACAAACCTATACCAGTTCACTACATTTTCACTTCACTTTTCACTTCGACACTTATATATGACATTATTGTGTTGCAAGTGCCGTAAAACTCATACTAAAACAAAACAAACCTGAAACTCGGAGGTCCCGCCTCTTAAATAACCTAACAGTGTTGATAGGGGTGTTAAACCTATACCATTTCACTCCCATTCTCCCAGAGAATCGCCCGAGGACAACATAGATGCCAACGACGACACGGACAACGACGTTTTCCGCAGCGGCTCCGAGTCGCCACAGTACACTCTCCCGGTCATTGTAGACGCCAAGCAGCGCCGGGCCACGGTCAGCGGGGGGTCACCGACCTTTGAGCGACCTTCGCTGGTGGTGGAGGATCTGGACCCAGCCCCGCTGCGGCCGAAGTCGCAGGCCATCAACGCCGTCGAGAGGGAGGCGGCCATTGCTGCGTTGTTGGCGGCGGATAACTCTCTGTACAAGAAAACTGGGGACGAGAGAGGTGAGGTTATGATGGATAACTCTTTGTACAAGAAAACGGGACGAGAGAGGTGAGTTTATGATGGATAACTCTCTGTACAAGAAAACTGGGGACGAGAGAGGTGAGGTTAAGATACAAGAAAAGAGAGAGAGGTCAGGTTATGACAGATAACTCTCTGTACAAGAAAACTGGGGATGAGAGAGGTGAGGTTATGATGGATAACTCTCTGTACAAGAAAACTGGGGACGAGAGAGGTGAGGTTAGGATACAAGAAAAGAGAGAGAGGTGAGGTTATGACAGATAACTCTCTGTACAAGAAAACTGGGGATGAGAGAGGTGAGGTTATGATGGATAACTCTTTGTTCAAGAAAACTGGGGAATGAGAGTGGTAAGGTTAGGATACAAGAAAAGAGAGAGAGGTGAGGTTATGGTTGATAACTCTTTGTACAAGGAAAGAGAGAGAGGTGAGGTTATGGTTGATAACTCTTTGTACAAGGAAAGAGAGAGAGGTGAGGTTATGGTTGATTACTCTTTGTACAAGAAAAGAGAGGAAGAGAGAGTTGAGGTTAGGGCTCGTAGGAAAGGACAGGTTGGCTAGGGTAAAGAGAGGGTTATGGGTAGGGTTGATAAGTCTTTGTATAAGAAAAGTAGTTAAAAAAGGTAAGGTTTGGGATGATAGGAGAAGAGATGGCTACAGTTAAAGGAGAGGTTGATAAGTCTTTGTATAAGAAAACTAGGGGAAGAGAAAGGTATTGTTAGAGATAAGAAAATAGAGAAGACTGGAGTAAGGTAAGAGATAATTTCCCCCCACCACCCTTTCTCCGCTCTCCCCCCCCTACCCCTTCCTTCACTGCTTATATAATCTCAATGCACAACCTTGTGTAGAGTCTTTAGGCCATTCCCAATGGGGGACATTTCTCGTTCAAGCACAGTAGAATTGTAAATGGGCTGATTCATGTCACGCTCATTACTGTGCCTGATCTACAACAGGGAACTGCTGCTTTTTCTTTCTTAATCCTTACTATTGTTATTTTCCTCTACTTTTTTTGTATGTTTGTCACTCTCTTGTGACTTGCTATTTCCGGGGTGCCTTGATAGTCGAAGCAGACCTTGTGCTGTTGAAGCTAGAGAGGTGAGCAGAATAAGTCTGATTCCCTGTAAAGACATCTCTGTTGACACCCACCCCTTGGCTCTCATATGACCATATGCAGTTGCGAGCGCCATAAAACCCTCTACTATAAAAAATATATATAAAGATAACACTGTGGATGTTTGGCAGGTGCTCTGGTGTGGTTTGCTCCTTCTTTCTTATCAAACGTCTATCGTCCTTATCTCTCCCGCTCCTTTTTTGTGTATGTTACTTATATGACCTTATTGTGTTGCAAGTGCAGTAAAACTCTTACTAACACTAAAAAGATAACAGACTATAAGTCAGCTGCTCTTTTTTTTTTTTTTAGTAGAGGTTTTACGGCACTCGCAACTGCATAAGCTCATATGAAGGCCAGAAGATTAGAGGTGTCACAAGAGAGTAACAAACGTAAAAAAGAAGGAGGGGAGATAAGGACGATAGGTGTTTGATAGGAAAGAAGAAGCAAACCACACCAGAGCACCCCCCACCCACCCACTCAGCTGCTCTGTCTCTTCTTCAATTCTCTCATCGCGTGAGTCACTGAAGTGCACATGAGGAGCAATCCGTGTGTCAGAACCTGTCAGTGGTAAGAGAGGCTCAAGTACTCACCAGTGACGCGAGTGGAGGCATGATGTGCTCACAGCTCACCCCAGTTGGCTTCCTCAGAATTACAAAGTTCTATCTGACTTTTTTGGCCATTTTTAGTTACAAAGACCATTAGTTCAGAAACCTAATATTCTATCTGTTCTATCAAAACTGTAAGATCTTTCGGAGTCCTTATCAAGATATTCAAACAATTGCATTCGAAAAAGCTTGACATGTGTTTCAACTCGAACATTTTTAGGCATCAAATTTCTCTAAACAAGGTACTGAGTAGATAAAACTTTTTAAATTTGAGGTAGCGAGTAGTGAGGAGAGCTGCATTCGAGTGGTTAAGTGTTTTCTGCTGTCTCAGTCACTGCTCACGTTCCTCAAGTGTGCCGCTCTCTCTCTCTCCCACTCACATCCTGCCAGTTGGGGGAGAGAGCGCACGCAAAGAATGATGACTCACTCACTCGCTGAGCTTCTCTCTCTCTCTCTGTGTGTGTGTAAGTGAGCGGTACGCAACCAAGAATAACTCCCACTGACTTGAATAGATTGAAGTAGTGGATGATCAGTAAAGACCACGATAATACAGGTTTGTTCTTTTTTTTTTTTCTTTTACTTTTTTTCTTTTTTCTTTTTTTTTAAATGGGAGAAAAAGGGGGGGGGGGGTGAGTGGTGAACCACGAGCATCATCAATGTCAGTTTCAGATCTGGCACTTGAAGAAGAAGATGCTCTCAAAGTCAGTGATGAATCACTCTCTAATGTTCTCTGTGTGTTAGTCGCAGATGTATTTTTGACAGGGTCCTTGGTATTGAAAATCCCCCTGACCTCTGACCCTTCTAACATACATAGACGTAGATACATTTCTGAGTGACGCATAACCTTAATCTCTTTCTTTCTTCGTTGGCTTTTGTCTCTCTTCCTCCATCCTCTGTTTATTCATTTCTCGCAGTGTGCCCGGATACACGTTTTCACGTAGAGCGCTAGAGTTTTTAAAAATCACACAAAGAGTGCCATCAAAGTTTTCTTTCGGAGAATCACATCCAGCAGTTTAAATATTTTTGCAAAGGTATGCAGTTAGAAATTGTGAAAAACGTGTGAAATTTGTGGAAAACTTCTGCCATTGTTTTCTATTCTCTCTTGACTGTTGTCTCAGGGGTGCGTTGATGGATGGGTTCGTGAAGTTAAAGATCATGGGAAATTTCCTTTTGAAATGCAAGGATAGATGTGACGACTTTAGTTAGCACAATTTGAAAGGTATAAAAATATATGTGTGTGTGACTTAAAGGGATGGAAGACAAAGAGATAGAGGAGAGTTTACTCTTGTTTCCTTAACTGAACTTTTTCCCAAACTTGTATATTTCTTGTACAGTGAGTGTTTGAGAAATCAGCCAATGTCCACAACTGTATGAAATAAATGTTAGTGATTGATAGTGGAAAATTATGTGTTTATTGCGTGGCAACATAAGATGGGTGTCTCCTGCAAACTTTTGATGTCAGTACCAAACAAATTAAAGACTCAAATGAAAGAAAATGTCAGTGTCTATTTGACCCCCCAAAAATCCAGTGATAATTTTGATGTTTCCAACATTAAATTGTGTTGGCACATTTGTAACTAACTATGTATGTTGTCTTTCTTCCTTCCCACCTCCCCCCCTCATATGATCAGAGAAAAAGCGCAGTCTGAGTGAGCCGGAAGACGTCTCAGGAGAAAAAATTTCGGCAACCTTCAGAGCTCTCGACACGCCCAACGGGTCTCTCAGCCAACCACAGACCACGTCGTCCGTTGAGAAAACTGGCAAGTCTGAGCCGCTCCTGAAGGATACCATTAACAATAACGGTACTTGAAAATCTTTTGTTGTTGTTTTGAGACGTTAGTTTGGTTTATAAGTTTTTCTTATAAGTTAAGTAAATTTTGAAAAGTGGGAATGAGATGTGTGTAGCTTTGTGACAAAATATGTTGCTTGTCCCACTCAGCCTTTGCAAAACCTCCATTTTCTCACTCCTGTGTGTTTCTGATTCCGCAACTTTGAATGATTCTAACCTTACATTAATGCTAAAGTATCAACCATAGCAAGTGCAAATGCCTATATCCTGAGGAAAGGGACATTTAGAGATGGTGAGGGGGTGGGAGAGTGAGTGAGAGACAGACAGACAGGCTGGCAGGCAGGCAGGCAGGCATACAGAGACTTAGAAAGATGGGGGGGGGGGGGGAGACACAGATAGGGAGAGGAGAGTTTACTCTTGTTTCCGTAACTGAACTTTTATCCCAAACTTATATATTCTCTGTTGACATCCACCCCTTGGCGCTCATATGACCTTATGCAGTTGCCAGTGCCGTAAAACCTTACTAAAACTTTTTTTTAAAATTGTCTATTTCTGATGCAGTGAGCGTAACCCCAACGGTGAAGTTTGAGATCGGCGGTGAGTCGGAGAGTCGGTCAAACAGTACCGGAGATGTGGTAGAGGAAGATGCTGGGGAGGCACAGGGTGAGTGAGGTCTTCTTCTTCTTCTTCTTCTTCTTCTTCTTCTTCTTCTTCTTCTTCTTCTTCTTCTTTTTCTTCTTCTTCTTCTTCTTCTTCTTCTTCTTCTTCTTCTTCTTCTTCTTCTTCTTTTTCTTCTTCTTCTTCTTCTCCTTCTTCTTCTCCTTCTTCTTCTCCTTCTCCTTCTCCTTCTCCTTCTCCTTCTCCTTCTCCTCCTCCTCCTTCTCCTCCTCCTCCTCCTCCTCCTCCTCCTCATCCTCCTCCTCCTCCTCCTCCTCCTCCTCCTCCTCCTCCTCCTCCTCCTCCTCCTCCTCTTTTTCTTTTTCTTCTTCTTCTTTTCCTCCTATATGGTATTTATTTAGCCAGCCCTGATGAAAGAACACTGGCTTGAAGCGCTTTACAACTGCAATAGCTACACATAAACAGTACATTGTGTTTTGGTTAAAATTCTAAATATGTGTTACGACGTGATGGAATCAGGCTCTTGTCAATTTTCCGGCATATAGAGTTAATGGTTTCATCTTAAAGCTTGGTCATTTGTCCTTATTTGGATTTTAAAGATAACCATTTATCTCGAATACAAGTCGAGATATTTGCGAATGAAGGAGGTGGGGGTCACCTGGTTTCAAAGGTAAAATCAGAGAAAAAATGGCCGCCAAAGATTAGCTATTTCCTTAGCTCAAGAGTCTGTGGTAACGAAAAATTTACACTTTTTGAGCACTTAATCAACGTTTTTCAGTAAAATCCACACAGAAATGTATTCTTTAGTGGGCATGAAAGGTGTTAAGCCAAAAAACAAAAATTCAATAAAAATTCACACATCTGCGGAAAAAAAGCCAGTTTCTTCACTTTGATTATTTTGACAAGAGCCTGATTCCACCACGCTGCATCACATATGTCTCTTTCATCTAGAGCTGACTCTAGAAGGAATTGGATTTGATCTCTCTTAATTGTGTAGTTGTACATGGGTGCAATGTAGACCACAGGTTGCTATGGGTGGCAGCCTGGTATACACACACATGCACGGGTGAAAATGCAGTGTCTCAAGCAAATATGATTGTGTGAGTTCTGTCGCACAATTACTCTTTCAAAGCTTGCATAATCATGTTTATGAATATAGGCACCGACACATACGCATTAAATCAACACACACACACACACACACAGGTACGCACGCCAAGACACACATATTTTAATACATACACTCAGACAGATGGGCGCACACACAGTACACAGTTTTGTGAATATGTCAATGATCTCTGCCCATCACACTGCAAGTACCTTTGGATCTACAGCACATTTATTCTCACTTATATGAATTTTATTTGTTTTGTTGTAACAATTTATTTTTGTGATCCCTGAACATAACACACTTGTCAAAGTGGGTGGTTGGCGGGTGCTCTGGTGTGGTTTGCTTCTTCTTTCCTGTCAAACATCTATCGTCCTTATCTCCCCTTGCTTCTTTTTGTGTTTGTTACTCTCTTGTAAATCCTCTAATCTCCAACACTTATTTGACCTTATTGTGTTGCAAGTGCCGTAAAACACTTTCTAAAACAAAAACACTTGTCAAGATAAAACTTTTTTTTTCATTTATAAAAGCAACAAAGTTGTGAAGTGAAAACTAACAATTTTTTTGGGTTTAATCTACCGAAACGACAGAGTCTTTGGATGAAGTTCCCAAAGTGCAGGAATTCTTTGTGACAAAACCCACGGCCGTGTTGAGGGAGGGCTCCCTGTCTGCTCGCAAGTCCTGGAACAGGAACCAGAGGGTAAGACCATTGTTCACGTCTCCGTCCTGACTTCAGTAGGCTACTTAAGACGTTTTACTTCACCCTATAGGATGGCGAGATGTGAAGCTTTCTTGTGAGACATGTCTCAGAAAAAACTCTGATCTGTATTGGACTGGCTTCGTGGCATCGTCACTCATCATGCTGCTTTTTTTCTTTCTCGTGAAATGACCTACGCTGACCTCTTGTCTGAGGTCTGGTAATACGGGGTGCCCATTATGGCTGGATCGGGCCGATCGCCTGACTCGATCGCCTGAAAACAAACACGTTTGTTTTTGAGGCGATCGATCGGCCGATCCCCTCTGTAGTGGGCACCCCGTATTAAGCATGACGTGTAGCGTGAGATTGTGATGTGTGTTGTGAGGGGTGGTGGTGTTTGTTGTTTGTGCTAACACTTAGACGGGACGGTATGTTGCTGGTAATGAGCTGTTGTTGTTGTTGTGGTTGGTTATGAGGTGTTGTTGTTGTTGTTGGTTATGAGGTGTCCGACTACTGCGCTGTGGTCAATGTTGTTGTGCTCAACTCAGTTGTGAGACTTTTGGTTAAGTGTAATATAATGATGATAGTAAATACAAATGTAGCATTTCTGCAGTATGCAGCGCATTTCCATTTTCTTAACAATGCTCAATGTGCATTACAGCCAAAGAGATATCATATTTTAAAATTACTAGACAGGTGTATACGTATAACAAAATTATATATATATGTGAAAAAAAAATTTCTCTGTAAATAATTGTCTAGCAATGAAGATGGCAGTATAGCACTGACATAACATGATTGTGTGCTTGAAGATAGTCCAGCCCTTTTGGTAAAGAGTGTAATCTTCTAGTCAGTTGATTTCAAGCCCTTTTTTCGCGAGGCTCTGTTTAATGAAGAATTTTATTTTGTATTCATCAGCTTTATCTGAATTAGTTAGAATGAACAGGATCTAGTTCTACTTATTTTTTCTGTTGAATTAGTTCTTTTTTGTTAGCAACTTTTTCAACTTGCTGTATTCTCAACAGTTTCTTGTGTGACTTGTTGTATCAAACTGTTTTCTTTTCTTTCTTTTTTTTTTCATGGCTTCATCATGTACTTCAATCTGATTTCATGTCCAAATTTACGCTGTGATTTGTGCAAAACTAAAGGAGAAGAGAATATCTTCAATTGTTAGACGTGATGTGTACTGGACAGGATGTCTACTAAGAGTATTTTTAAAAAAAATTTGCTTCCTCTTTTTACTCGGGAAGTGGAGATTGGAAAAATTCTTTAGTGTTTTTTTCAATAGCAGCGTTTTAATGTTGTGTGCTGGGAAAGTGGTCTATAATTTTATCAAACAAATCCTTATTATTTGAACTGTTGTCATTCCTGTTTGTAGCTTTTGTTAGACGTTTTATTTGTGGTGCTGGCTCTTTCTTTGAGTGGTTTTTTTGTCTTTCCTTTCTCATTGGTTGGAATGTTTGTTGTGGTCTTGCCAGTGATGAGTATGTTTGTTTGTCTGTCTGTCTGTCTGTCTGTCTGTCTAATGAACACATTGCATGATACATTTGTGCGTTTGCCTGTCCGTCTTAGATAATCAGTATGGAGATTGCTGGAGATTCTGGCAAAGGAGACTTTCCGCAGCTTATGCGGATAAGACGTCTTGACTCGCAGCAGATAGCGGAACTGGTAAATGAACGCTCCGTGGGGGCTCGGGTTGCTAACGCTTGCCACACTAACCCTTCTATTGACTGTAACCGTAGTGCTTGACTTACCTCACCTAGCCAACAGACTGACATGTTTATGGAACAGCAACCATCACCATATTCAGAAATATCGTTGTTGTTCTTATTGAAAAGCAACATTTTGTGTAATTGTTTTTGTCATTGTCGGAATGTTCTTTTTTCTCCACGTGTTCCATAAATGTGCTCTCAAAATTGTAAAATCATTTAATTAAAGTAAATGAATAAATTTCTGTGTAAATTGAAGATTGATTGATCGATTCATTCCAACAGTAGCATACACTCGATTGTGTAGGAAGCTTGAGTGTTTCTCCTCAATATAACTATGTTTTGGGGATTGCATGCTCATTAACTTCAGATTAGGAATTCAATTTTGGGTAGTTGGTGGAAGACACCACTGGTAGGTCCTCCTACTTCTTTTTTTCTCTCCCTCTCTGTTGTTTCTGTATGTCTGTTTTACTTTTTCCCTACACCAAATTTTGATGGTTGTTGTTTCGATGTGCTTCTCTTTACTCAAAAACTGGAAGTGAATTTCAGTGATTGTTATATTCAATCAAGGCATATGTAGACTTCCTATCTATCAACACCCTGAAATAATTGTGGTCCCTGGCTGTATCAGTGTGTCAAACAGGGTCTGTTTGATTTGAAAGAATTTTACTGGTGTTGAAAGTCTTCTCTTTCATCCGTGTTTAAATATTTTCTTCATTAAACGTTACTTTTTCTCCTTTTCTCCCCTCCGGACCATTTTATATTTGTGATACTGCTAGTCACACCAGCTGTTCAGGGCTTCTCACAGTTCTGATCTTTTTGACACATTGACTTTCTTCACTCACCAACAAACACTCATGGAGTTTGGGTTTTTTAAACTCTAGTTTTTAACCCTGTCTTGACTTGACTCGTCCACAAACACATATTATTCTCTAACACACTTGGGTTTGAGTTGTTAAATGACAGTTTCTATAATCATCAAATGACAGCTTTGACTAAATTCTCATATTTGTTATTATTCTCTAACACCCTTGGGTTTGAGTTAGTAAATGACAGTTTCTATAATCATCAAATGACAGCTTTGACTAAATTCTCATATTTGTTATTATTCTCTAACACACTTGGGTTTGTGTGTGTGTGTGTGTGTGTGTGTGTGTGTGTGTGTGTGTGTGTAAAAACATGTGTGCACTTGTATGTTTGCATTTGTATACTACTGTTTGAGCTTTTGGTCTCCACACAATTTCCTTAGCTCATTTAATTGTAACTTGGTTTGAGTTTAGTTTTGGCTCGTGCTGTGTTGGAAGTCGCACATCGTAACTACACCATACGTTTAGTAGCACCTTTAGGGTTTTGATAGCTCAAGAATAAAGCACTTAGGTGTGATCACTTTTTCCTTTATTGTGTAGTCTTTGGTGGTCAGCTGATGCCTCTTGTTGGACTTCCCAAATGTTTGTAATTACCTCCCTTCCTCCCTCCATCCATCCCTCCCTCGCCTTTTCTTGCTGTGTGATTGTCTAAAACCATGGAGAACTTTATGATGTAAAAAAATGTATTTCCAATCTATACATGTAGTGTAGTAGGCCTACATTTGTGTGCTGCATTTTCTCTTTTATTGTGTGCAGTACATTAGCAAATGTTTTGTTATTGTTTTGAAATTGAATGAATGCCGACACTGAATGAGTTTTCAAACAAAGAGCAATGCTTTATTGTAGGATGAATGAATCTTACCAAGAACTATAGAATGGCAGAGGAAAATATCTTGCTGAACTTTGTGTTATGATAAACAACAGATTAAGTATAAAATACTGGAGTAAAACCTGTACTGTGAAGTATGATAGGCTGGTAGAGTAATGGTTTGTTATTGTTCATGGTTAGTGAAGGAGCCTCAATTTAATCGTACAAATTACGCATTTGAAATTCTCTTGTTCATATTCATGGATATATGTGTGCACACACTTATGCACACTCAGACATAAACATGCATAACGTATACACACACACATGTACAGACACACACAGAGACTCACACACACACACACACACACGCACACACACACACACACACACACACACATGCGCGCGCATGCATGAGTAGTCCCTGTTTGACTTGAGGTTTGTCTGTGAGTTTGGTTTAGTTTAGTTTCGGTTTGTGCATGAGCTAGTCTTGTATTGCATGTGATGTACACGTCATCTGTTTGTGTGGGTGATTGGCGGGTGCTCTGGTGTGGTGTGCTCCTTCTTTCCTATCAAACAAGTGTCGTCTTTATCTACCCTACTTCTTTTTTGTGTTTGTTACTCTCTTGTAACAGCTCTAATCTTCAGCAAGTATCCTCAACTTGTTTTTGGGATTGTAATTATATTATAGTAATCAGTATTCTCTGTAGTTGCTGTATTATTGTAATCAGTATTCTGTAGTTGTTGTTGTTTGTAGTTGAAAGCTTTCACTTACACTTTGCTACTTTCTAGTCCTTTTTTCTTATTTTATTTCAACATTTCTTTTTGTTACATTTTGTATAGACTTTTACTCTTTGGACTGAGCACCGTCCTGGCTCAAAACTTTCCATGTGGTTGGTTGGCGGGTGCTCTGGTGTGGTCTGCTCCTTCTTTCCTATCAAACATCTATTTTCCTTATCTCTCCTCCTTCTTTTCTGTGTATGTTACTCTCTTGTAACACATCGATTCTTTGGCGCTTATTTGACCTTATTGTGTTGCAAGTGCCGTAAAACTTTTACTAAAACTAAACGAAACTTTCCATTCCAAAGACGAATTGTGTTATCGTAACTGGGCACTGAATGTCAATTGTATATTTTTTTTATCTCTGATGAATCAAACAGTAATGTTGTAAGAACCATTTATATTAGCAGCAGATGTGTGTGTGTGATTGTCTAAAAACACAGAGAACTTTGTAATTTTTTGTGATTAAAATTTTTTTTGGGTGTGATTTAAAAAAAGAAAATTTCCAAGCAACAATTCGTGTACTGTATTTGTTTGTTGTGTTTTCTCTTTTTTTTTTGTGGCTTCTCTGTTTTTCCTATCTGCCCCTTATGAGTACTCAATTTCCCCCTCAGTCACATGGTGTTGGGAGTGTTCTGGAAATGATATCTGTAAACTTTCCGCTCTGGTTATCCCGATATTTACCCTGCCTGCTCCCCCCCCCCCCCCCCCCTCTCCTCTTTCCCGTAACCTTTTTTTACTTTCTTTTTCTTTAAAGAATAATGGGTGTGGCTTTTCCCTATGTACGGAAATTCATGGAGGCTTGTGTTTTCTTCTGAGTGTCATTGTTTTAAATATTATTATTATTATTATTATTATTATTATTATTATTATTATTATTATTATTATTATGTGCGTGTGTAGTATAGTTTATGTAAGGGAAATAATCCCATAAATACTGGTGTCCTTGTCTAAATGGTCTAAATGGGGGTGTAAAATGTTTACCGTCAGTCAGAGGTCAGCTGTTTGTGGTATTGTCGTCAGAAACGTCTTAGTTCTGTGAAGTGAGTGGTTAGTGTGCGCTCTGATAATAATTATGGTTTGTTCCTTCTTTCCTATCAAACACCTATTATCCTTATGGCTTATCTTTCCTCCTGGTTTTTTTTTGTATTTATGTTACTCTGAAGTTGTAACACCTCTAATCATGGGTTGTTGGCGGGTGCTCTGGTGTGGTTTGCTTCTTCTTTCCTATCAAACATATATCGTCCTGATCTCTCCTCCTTCTTTTTTGTGCTTGTTACTGTCTTGTAACACCTCTAATCTTTGGCACTTATATGACCTTATTGTTTTGCAACTGCTGTAAAACTCTTTACTAAAACAAACGCTTCTAATCTTTGGCACTTGTATGACCTATGAGTGTTGCGAGTCACGTAAGACTCATAATGTATGACCCAAATTGTGTTGGTGTATGACCCAAATTGTGTCGGTGTATGACCCAAATTGTGTCGGTGTATGACCCAAATTGTGTCGGTGTATGACCCGAATTGTGTCGGTGTATGACCCAAATTGTGTCGGTGTGCTTCCTTCTCTTCACTCCTACCCAGGCTATTGTGGTTACTATGTATGATCAGGCAACGAGTGAAGCCTTTTTGTCTTCTCAGATTATTGTTGCTGTCCTATTGTTTTTCCCTGTGCAATTTGGATTGAGAAATCAGCAGGGAATAATTCTGTTTCTTGCATTGGTTTATGTTTTAAAAACCCATCTCTCCCCCCCCCCCCCTCTCTCTCTCTCTCTCTCTGTCTCTCTGTCTCTGTCTCTCTCTCTCTCCTTGCCTGTCTCTCTCTCTCTGTCTCTCTGTCTCTCTGTCTCTCTCTCTCTCCTTGCCTGTCTCTCTCTCTCTCTCTCTCACTCTCTCTCTGTCTGTCTCTCTCTCTCTCTCTCTCTCTTTGCCTGTCTCTCTCTCTCCTTGCCCCTCTCTCTCTCCTTCCCTGTCTCTCGCTCTCTCCCTCTATCTCTCTCTTATTGCCTAGGAAATAGAAAATAATACTTTGTGCTGATTCCTGTTATGGAAAAAGCAAAGTGGTCATTAATTTATCAGGAGTTGAAAACAGATATGCTCAGAAACAACAGTTCTTATTGATGACAAACAATTGAGCTGAAATATTTATGATATATGACTCTTACTCTCAGTGATAAGACGGTTTATCTTCCCCTCTCGCTGACTGATATGAGTAACTAGACGTACATAGACTACTTCCTCCTTGATAGCAAGCTAGTAGGTTACGGTTAGTTTGTACTGATAGTATGCAACTAAATGCAGAAGGTACTTAAAGTGGTCTGTTTTTGTGTGAGGTCACTCATTGTGTGTGTGTGTGTGTGTGTGTGTGTGTGTGTTGATGTGACTTTGGAGTAGAAGTGTCAGTGTTTGCCAGATTCTCGTTCCTGGTTGTCTTCTCTCTGTCTGTCTCTGGGACTGGTGTTTATTTCTCAAATTTTTCTGCGATGGGGAGTCGGTTCTATGTGGTAAGTCTTCTTACACTTAGTTGAGTCGTATTTAGTCATCACCTTATTCTCTCTGTAAGTGAAATTGGAGGCTTTTTAATGTTCAAAATGTAGCAAACTTTTCTCTGCCAGAATTGGTCTCATCGGCCACAGCAGAAGCCTCAAGTCATCCTGACCTTTAATTTTTATTATAACTCTTCTATTTCGCTGGAGAAATATTCTCCTCTGCGGATGTATTTGTCATCCTCAGAATTGATGGACGAAATATTATTATCACTCTTGCGATTGGGAATCAGTTCTTTGTGTTATGTCGTAAGCTGAGACTGGTATTGTGATGCTTAGTCTTTACCATAATATTTTCACGATGAGGAGTCCGTTTTTTCTTGGTGTATCGTCGGCTGAGAGAGGTATTTAGTTATCCCTTTTTCTTCAATAGGTAGTCAGTTTTACTGTGGTTGGTCTTTGGCTCAGAGTGGTATCTAATTTTATGACTATTTCTTCAGTGAGTAGTCTATTTTATGTGGTTGGTCTTTGGACTTTGGCTGAAAGTGGTATTTAGTTATCGCTATTTCTTCAGTGAGTAGTCAATTTTATATGGTTTGGTCTTTGGCTGAGGGTGGTATTTAGTTATCACTATTTCTTAAATGCGCAGTCAGTTTTATGTGGTAGGTCTGAGGACATCAGAAGATGTTTGAGGTTCTCCTGTGATAATATTTCTGCCTGTCTGCCTTACTTCTTTTCTTGTTCTTAATGACCGTTATTGTGTTGGCCCAGTATTTTAAAACGTTGCACAGAAGGAGCTGTATGTGGCTTTATGCAGACTTTCAGTTTCAATCAAGTGACGGATCTCTTATGTGTCTTTCTGAAGGTTGTCGCCGATAGGTCGTACTTCTTTTCTCTCCCTCTCCCGTTTGTCTCTGTCTTGACTTCTCCTAGTACAAAGTGACTGCTGTTGTGTTGATGTGCTTCTTACTAACAAAAACTACATTTTTCCTTTCACAGGAGAATAAGATGGATGATGACGACGTTTTCGTCAAACCTCAGAAAAAAGTCGACTTTGATGTGAGCCCGAAAGAGAGTGAGAAAGCCGAAACGTAAGTTGAACATCGGTTTGTAAAGTAGCTATCGGAGAAGGACATAAATTTCAGCCAGAGTGAGTTGGACATTCAGTTGTGAAAATGTTAGTTGGACATATAGTTTGTAAAGTAGCAACACGAGTTGGACATTTATTTGTGAGATAGCAGTATAAGTTGGACATTTATTTGTGAGATAGCAGTTTAAGTTGAACATTTATTTGTGAGATAGCAGTATAAGTTGAACATTTATTTGTGAGATAGTAGTATAAGTTGAACATATGGGAGGTGTGCTGACAAAATGAGTTATTTTCGCTGTCCAAGAATGGAGATGTTGGCTGAAAATCGACACTACGGTCAGATTTATAAATTTCTAATTGATGCCAATTTGTTCAAGTCTACCGTGTCTTTTATTATTTCATACTTACAAATTGTACAAACTCACACACACACACACACACACACACACACACACACACACACACACACACACACCCACACACACAAACACACACACACACATACTCACACCCCTCATCATGTGTTATTTTGTCAAAGGTTCACCCATGTTGTGGTGGGCGGCGTGGTGCAGAAAGTTCCTGTGGAGAAGGCAAAGCCTTACACTACTCCAGAGGTATGTTGCACTCACAGCTGTCGTGGGGAGTGGGTGGTTTGGGGTGTGCTCTGGTGTGGTTTTCTCCCTCTTTCTCCTTTCAGACATCAATCTTCCTTATCTCTCCTCCTTTTATATGACCTTATACAGGGAGGCATTGCGTTGCTAAGAGCGAAATGCTCATAGCTAAAGGGATTTGAAAACAACAACAACAACATATGACCTTATGCAGTTGCGAGCGCCGTAAAACCTCTACTAAAATGAACTCTCCTCCTTTTTTTTCCTTTGTATGTTACTCTCTGGTAACACCTTTAATGTGGGTGGTTGGCGGGTGCTCTGGTGTGGTTTGCTCCTTCTTTCCTATCAAACATCTATCGTCCTTATCTCTCTTCCTTCTTTTTTGTGTTTGTTACTCCCTTGTAACACCTCTATTCTTCAGCACTTATATGACCTTATTGTGTTGCAAGTACCGTAAAAATCTCGCTAAAACTCAACTAAAACGCCTTTATACTTTGGCATTTAATTTATATTACATATTATGTTGTGCTCACTGCAATAGTGGGGAGCGGGTGGTTGGCGGGTGCTCTGGTGTGTTTTCTTCTCCTTCTTTCCTTTCAAACGTCTATTTTCCTTATCACTCCTTCTTTTCTTTATCTTTTGAGTGTTACTCTTTGGTAATGCCTTTAATCTTTAATAATAATAGATAGCATTTGCAGAGCACAAATCCACACTCAACAGCAAGCTCTATGCGCTTCACAATCTATACACTATTACCCCAGCAGACCTGAGAGCATTCTGAAACAACTTCAACTTCCTGAGAAGCATACAGTGCAAGCAGCCGTATAGGCGCTAACATACTAACATACCGACAAGATCTTTCACTGTCTATAGTTGGGTACCCATTCCCACCTGGGTGAAGTGGGGGGAAAATTCGTCTAAAGTGCCTTTCCCAAGGACACAACGTTGGGCCTGCGACTCGAACCCCCGAACCCGCATTTTTTGGTACCAGGGAAAAGTAAAGATAGGGAGAGGTAGAGATAGATAGAGAGAGAGAGATAGAGAGAAACAACAGACGGAAAGAAAAGAAGAAGAATCTACCCCCCCAAACCCCTTTCCTCCCTATAAAAATTCTCTAAAAAGTGTAAAAATCTGTTGTGTGTGATCTTTGTTCTAGTCCCCCACCGTGCGACTGAGGAACAAGCCCTCAGGGTCAAAGACCAGACTTGGTGAGTTTGGTTTTTTTGTATGTTGATGTGATTTGGTGAGTGTGTTTGTTTGTCTTTGATGTGATTTGGTGAGTTTGTTTGTCTATTGATGTGATTTGGTGAGTTTGTTTGTCTATTGATGTGATTTGGTGAGTTTGTTTGTTTGTCTGTTGATGTGATTTGGTGAGTTTGTTTGTTTGTCTATTGATGTGATTTGGTGAGTTTGTTTGTCTGTTGATGTGATTTGGTGAGTGTGTTTGTCTGTTGATGTGATTTGGTGAGTTTGTTTGTTTGTCTGTTGATGTGATTTGGTGAGTTTGTTTGTCTGTCGATGTGATTTGGTGAGTGTGTTTGTTTGTCTATTGATGTGATTTGGTGAGTTTGTTTGTCTGTTGATGTGATTTGGTGAGTTTGTTTGTCTGTTGATGTGATTTGGTGAGTTTGTTTGTTTGTCTGTTGATGTGATTTGGTGAGTTTGTTTGTTTGTCTGTTGATGTGATTTGGTGAGTTTGTTTGTCTGTTGATGTGATTTGGTGAGTGTGTTTGTTTGTCTATTGATGTGATTTGGTGAGTTTGTTTGTCTGTTGATGTGATTTGGTGAGTTTGTTTGTTTGTCTTTGATGTGATTTGGTGAGTTTGTTTGTTTGTCTATTGGTGTGATTTGGTGAGTTTGTTTGTCTGTTGATGTGATTTGGTGAGTTTGTTTGTCTGTTGATGTGATTTGGTGAGTGTGTTTGTCTGTTGATGTGATTTGGTGAGTTTGTTTGTTTGTCTGTTGATGTGATTTGGTGAGTGTGTTTGTTTGTCTTTGATGTGATTTGCTGAGTTTGTTTGTCTATTGATGTGATTTGGTGAGTTTGTTTGTTTGTCTTTGATGTGATTTGGTGAGTTTGTTTGTCTGTCTCTTGATTTCGCTTGATGAGTGTGTTTTTGTCTTTCGATGTGTTAACTAAAACTAGACTAAGTCTTCATGGGTGGCTGGCGGGTGCTCTGATGTGGTTTGCTTCTTCTGTCCTATCAAACATCTATCGTCCTTATCTCCCCTCCTTCTTTTTTGTGTTTGTTACTCTCTTGTAACCCATTTATCCTCCGGCACTTATATGACCTTATTGTGTTGCAAATGCCGTAAAACGCTTACTAGAATATAAAGCAGAAAAACAAAAGAAAATATATTTTTGTATAGTTTATGAATTATATTCCTGTTTCTGTGTATGACTTTGGCACTAATGTGACCTAATTAACTTGCTAGTGCCGTAAAACACTTACTAGAATATAACGCAGAAAAGCAAAAGCAAAATGTTTTGGTGTGGTTAATGATTTATATTTCCTGGTTCTGTGCGTGACAATCAACAGACCGGAGTGGGTAGTTGGCGGGTGCTCTAGTGTGGTTTGCTCCCTCTTTCCTATCAAACATCTATTGTCTTTATCGCTCCTCCTTCTTTTTTGTGTTTGTTACTCTCTTGTAACACCTCTAATTTTTGGCACTTATATGACCTTATTGTGTTGCAAGTGCCGTAAAACTCTTACTAAAACTAAACATCTATTCTCTGGCACTTATATAACCTTTATTGTGTTGCAAGTGCCATAAAACCTCTACTAAAACAAAAGTGACAATGCACAGATCGGCGCGTGTCGTGCAAGGACCTGGGGAAGGGTGACTGTGAGGGCTGGCTGTACAAGAGGAAACACAAGGACCGCGCGCTCTCCAAGCACTGGGTCAAGAGGTGGTGTGTTCTGAAGACCTTCAACCTCTTCTACTACAAGCTCAAAGACGTGAGTATGTGTGTGCGTGTGTGAGGGTGTGTGCGGGTGTGTACACGTGTGATCGGTTGGAATGAGGCTTAGATTGCTAGAAATTAAAGCTTTCTCTTTCAGCATTGTGTATTGCTTAAATTTTGTGTGATGTGAAAAATAAATGTGTCATGACGCGGTGGAATCAGGCGCTTGTAAAATTTTGGGCGTATGAAGTTATCTGTGTCAGCTTAAAGCGTATTTATTTGTCTTGCTTTTGGTGAAAAAAAAATACCTGACTATCTTGAATGGAAGTTGAGATATTTGTAATTGGAGGAGGTAGGGGGTCACCTGGAGTTGGAGGGAAAAATTGGTGAGAAAATGGCCCCCAAGTTTGGTGATTTCTAAAGCTTTAGTACCCTTGGAAACTGCAAGTTTCCTTTTTTTGTGTCTTTGAACCGTGTTTTTCAGTAAAATCCACACAGAACTGTTTTTTGTGAGTGCATGCGTGCGTGTGTGTGTGGGGCTTGTGTACATGTGTGCTTGCGTGGTGCGTGCGTGCGTGCTTGGGTGCACATGCAGTTACACATACTTTGTATAATACTGAATGGGAAGTGTTCACCTCAGTGGAAAACGTCCTCTTTATTTAACACGTCAGTGTATAGTGTCAGTAAAGCATCAACACTCAGACCTTGTTTATTTCTCCGTTCTGAAAACCACAAAAAAAGGGGTTTAAGAAAGGAAGGGAAAATACTCTCACGCCTCTCAATCTCTCTCTCTCACACTCCACCAACCTCAAGACCAAAAAATTGTAAGTTCATTTTGGGAATTTTAAAATAGATTATAGCTCATGCTTTTCAGTTTCTTCTCCAAACTGTGTGCTTGTGACTTAAAGGAATTCGACTTTCCTTGCTGCAAAAGACAAGAATTTCACCCACATAAGTTTCGTTCATGGTTTATTGATCAAGTTCTCTGGTTTTTCAGATAAATTTCAAGTGGAGATAATATAATCAGTAATTCCTGGAAATTGTTTCTTTTTTTTTTTTTTTTGAACATTCAGTCTGAGTTTAATGTAAATGAGCCATCGTTTTATAAGTTTCCTTCACTGTTTATCACATTATAATTATATCAGTAAGTGCTAGCTTACTATTTGGGAGCTAAGGCATCTTGGCTTTTCTTGCCAGTAGTTTCCCGTTTTCCATCTTGAGCTTTTTTTGGGTGCAGCATTAGGGCGTGATTTTAGCTTTGCAGGCTTGTCAACTGTCCCAAACTTCCCGGAACTGTCCTGGATTCGGCTTTTGGGAATCTGAAAACCGTATCACATACACTACTCTGAAACCAGTCCCGAGTGACGTAATATTGCTCGTTGTCTTGATGTAACCTGACGTTATAATGTTGGGTAGTGGATGGTTGGCGGGTGCTGTGATGTGGTTTGCTCCTTCCTTCTTACCTATGAAATGCCTATCGTCCTCATCTCTCCTTTTTTGGGGGGTTTGTTACTCTCTTGTAACACCTCTAATCTTCGGCTCTCAAATGACCAAACGTGTTGCAAGGGGCGTAAAACACTCACTAAAACTAAACATTGAGTGTCCATGATGGGTTTGAAAGAAGTTGGCAAGCCTGGCCTTGTATTCTCAATAGAGCTGCGACTAATTTGAATCGAGAGTGGACTGAGTGAACTCACAGATTTGCTTGTAATGAACAAAATGTCATTTATTGTAGTCGCATGCTCTTGAAATGTGTCTGATATAAAAGCTCGTCAATTTGTTTATATATCTGTGCAGTCTTCTCTCATACTTTTGTCTGTGTGAACCCAGAGATTTGCTTGTAATGAACAAAATGCCATCTTATTGTAGACGCATTCACTTGAAATGTGTGGAACATATAAAAGATTCTTGAATTTGTTAATGTCTGTGGAGTGTTCTCTCATACTTTTTCTCTGTTTAGTCTAGTATCTAATTCTGCATTTTTCTCTGTGTGGTCTAAGTCTTTAATCCTATACTTTTGTCTGTTCTGGTCTTTTATCTTATACTTTTCTCTGTTTTGTCCCATATATTTAATTCTTTTCATTTCTGTGTTAGGTCCAGTATTAAATTTTACACGTGGGTGGTTGGTGGGTGCTCTGGTGTGGTTTGATCCTTCTTTCCTATAAAACAACTATCGTCTTTGTCTCCCCTCCTTTCTTTTTTATGTTTGTTACTCGCTTGTAACACCTCTAATCTTCGTCACTTATATGACCTATTGTGTTGCAAGTGCCGTAAAACTCTTACTTAAAAAAAACCAAACCTGGCTAGTTGGCGGGTGCTCTGGTGTGGTTGGCTCCTTCTTTCCTATCAAACATCTATCGTCCTTATCTCTACTCCTTTTTTAAAATGTTTGTTACTCCAGAACAACATACTTAGGGAACCTAAACAAATGGGTAACAGGGAAAGATCAGGGAAACGTAGCTTTTTTGAGAGCATCCGAGCAAAGGAATGAATAGAAAACCATGATCGCCGATGTCTGTCACAGATCTGGCACTGGATGACGATGATGACTCTCTTGTAACACATATAATCTTCTGGCGCTCATATGACCTTATTGTGTTGCAAGTGCCGTAAAACTCTTACTTAAAAACAACAACTTTACACTGTGTTTGTCTTTATTTCTGCACTTTCCTCTACTGCGTGATCTGGTCTGTAGTCCCATGCATTTCTCTGTATGGTTTAAGTCTCTAGTCCTATACTCTTCTCTTCATGGTCTGGTTTTTATTCCTCTGCTTATCTCTATATATGGTCGAGTCTATAATCCTGCACTTTACTCTTTGTGGTCTAGTCTTAAACCATGCACTTGTTCTCTGTATGGTTTAGTCTATAATCCTGCACTTTTCTCTCTATGATCTAGTCTATAATCCTGCACTTTCCTCTGTGTGATCTAGTCTGTAGCTCCATACATTTCGCGGTTTAGTCTCGTCTTTAGTCTCGCACTTTTCCCCCGTTTGGGCTTTAACCTCGCTACTTTGCTTTGCCTTGCCAGAGAGTACAGGTGAGTGGAGAGTTGCTGTAACGTAGCACGAGCACACACACGCGACTGCCAGACACAGACGCTGACACAGTCATGGGGCATAGGCCTACTATTATTCACAACTTTCGTGAAACACCCTAAGCTGGGCTGAAAACTACAGTTTTTACTCTTCCTCCTGGAAGTAATTTCTAAGCGTTTCTATTTTGTTATTAAAAAAATAATTTCTAGGCATTTCTGTTTTGTTATTTAAAAAATAATTTCTAGCATTTCTATTTTGTTATTTAAAAAATAGTATCAGTTCAATAAGGAAGAAGCACTAACTAAAGTTTACGCGGAAATCTACTGGAATATGTGTTCCCTCTTATTTTTTTAACTTGAAGCGGGTTTTGGTTATTTTAGGTCCAAAGCAAAAAAATGATCACTTTTGACATTTTGCGGTCACTTGACGCGATAATGCGCCGGTGAAAATTATCAATTCCGGTCACCTGGCGCAGTTCAACTGCTCCAGGCACTAGAAATCTGTTGCAGTCACTCTCCTGGCTGGGTGACCAGATGGGGTATTTTCTACTGCTGGCTGTGTGACTGCAAAGTGTTAAGAAGTCATTTGCAGACTTGGGAGTGTGGTCTTTTGGTTGATTTAAAGAATTACTGGTGCAGATTATGCCAAATTAGCTGTTACTGAAAATTTATTGAATGTTTGAAGTTTGAAGTGATTTGTACCGGGTCTATTTTTGAGGTGATAGTCTCCTGACTGTGACTCTGTGATGTCTGGCTGGTCAGTGTGTGTGACTTTCTTTGGGGGTGTTGATGTTTTGTTTGTTTGTTTGTTTGTTGTTTTTTGCTGTTTCATCACTTGCTGTGTTGGTGAGTGTGGGTTGTTTTATTTTTCTTCGTGTTGCCTTTTTAAAAAATTGTTTATTATTTTTTTTCCAGCAGGGTTTTTGTTCATGCTTGTGTATATTATTGCTTGTAGTATTTTGTTCGAGTTGATTTGTTTGTTGTTTTACTAATATCAAAGACTTTTTTTGCTTTTGTTAATCTGTTCATTGTTTGATCAGGGAAACTGTTCCTTTTGTGCTGCTTTTGGTATTATTTATTTTAAAACAAGACAATGGTGTCCAGATGAGTTACTTGTATGTAGTTTCCACAGAGTTTCTAAGCCAGTGACCTAACAGTGCGTCGCCTCAGAACTATTTTGTCCAAAGTGCAGGCTTTATTTTAGTACACTTTGGAGAAACTAGTTCTGAGGCTTAGTACACTGTGGAGAAAATAGTTCTGAGGCTTAGTACACTTTGGAGAAAATAGTTCTGAGGCTTAGTACAGTTTGGAGAAACTAGTTCTGAGGCTTAGTACACTTTGGAGAAAATAGTTCTGAGGCTTAGTACACTTTGGAGAAAATAGTTCTGAGGCTTAGTACACTTTGGAGAAACTAGTTCTGAGGCTTAGTACACTGTGGAGAAAATAGTTCTGAGGCTTAGTACACTTTGGAGAAAATAGTTCTGAGGCTTAGTACACTTTGGAGAAACAAGTTTTGAGGCAATGAAATGGAAGCCTTTTTCTTCATGTAGATTCTTTATGATATTAAAGTAAATGAAATGTATTTACATGCCTTTGAAAATGTCTAGCGTCTCCTTGTGAAAATATTTTTGAGAAATGTTAAGATATTTTTTAGAAAGTTTGTCTCATTTTAGTAATAAGTGGAATTTACTCATGTCCATTTTTCTTCTGTCAAGGTTTGTGTGCTGTGATTAAGTTTTATTTCTTTGACCAATTCGATGATGTTCTTCTTTGTCCCTCATTTTCCGTCCTTGTCACGGACAATTTTTGTTTGTTTGTCTTGCTGCTGCTGTGTTTTCAGTTACTGGCATTTTGGCTCTGGTTTCTTGTTTGTTTTAAGTTTGTCTTGATCTTCTTTGTAGCGACTCTCTCTCTGATGTTTTTGTTTGCTTGGTTTGAGTGATGGGATCATGTTCATCTTGAGTTTGAAGCGTTTATGTGTATTTGAAAGTGTGCATATTGGTTTCAGCTTCCATTTTCCTCTCAGAACTTTTAGTCTTCCTGCATTTGGCAAGAAAGTATTCGGTTTCTGTTTGTGGATGGAACAGATGAGATTTGTAGCGATGTGTTTTACCTAGATATAATCTACATGCTGATTCTGTTCGTGCCTGCATGAAGAGAGTTGGTGTTGTGTGGTGGGGGTGGGGTGGGCTGGGTTTTGCCGTTGTTTGTCAAGCACTCTGGCTTTGTTTGCTGTTGGTATTTCTCTGTGAGATTGTTGCACGGCCCAGCTTGCTCTCTCTGGTTGTCATAGGGTACATCTAGCACAGAAACTCTTTTTTTTTTTTTTAATTCCTGATTTCTGTTGACATATAGTTGTTTTTAAAAATCTTATTTTTCCTGTTTGATTGGTGTTTTTTTTAATGAAAGAAGCTCAAAGAGAAGTGGGAGGATGGGCGAAGGTTATTGAGGTGGGGATGGGGGAGATGGGGGGAGAGAGAGAGAGAGAGAGAGAGAGAGAGAGAGAGAGACAGACAGAGAGAGAGAGAGAGAGAGGGGGGGAGATGGGGGGGGGGGTACTTAAAGGTTGGCTTCATGACCTTGTAGCAACCTATGATAAATTTCGTACAGTCAGTCTGTCTATATATGCTTTAAGACAAAACTGGTACATTGTAACGCATTCTTGTATTTATGGGTTTTTTCAATTGTCAAGTTAGGAAAATGATCAGATGAAACATTTCCTCACTAATAGTAATATTGATAAATTTTTGTAAATTTTTAAACTCCTCTGCTATGAGTGCCATACTGAACATAGTTTAATCTAATAAAAAACCAGATGTATATTATCTTTCTTTAAATTACATGGTAGGTTTTGTTGTGCTTACGATCAGCGCAGGAAGGTTCAAAACACATTTTAAAAAAAAGTAATCTTATATGTTGATACACTTTGGGCTCCAGCCATGATTTCAACCACACATTTGAACCTTTTCAGCTTAAGGTTGAATATCCATAAAATTTCAACATGAATATTTTTTTATTTTTTTTTACTGGCGCCTAATTTGAATTGAGCACCCTTAAGTGACCTATTTCAACTCGAATATTTTCTGTTTTAAACTAGTGCCTAATTTAATTTTGAGTCCTTTTGTTGAGTAATTAATTTGGTATTTGTTAATGATGCGACCAGAATTGGAAGCAATAAACTCCGCACTTTCAGAAATCATTTACGTTTATTTGATAAAGATACTGACTTTTGTCTGATTTCTTGTCAGGGTATAATGTTGTTATTTTATAAGAGAACCCCCCCTCCCCCATTTCCTACAATTTCTGTATTTTGTGGTTGTCAGTTTCGGGCCGGTGTGAGTAAAAAGTCACGCTCAAAGCATACTCTTAACTTTTGAGAATGGGTTGTATGTATGTATCCAGTGGTGGTGATAATGTCTACTTACTGATGAGAATGTTATTTATAATTTCTGCAACAAAAGTTTGAGTTTTTTTTCCAATAGAAGACCTATTTATTCTGTTTGCGTTCTTCCTCAGAGTGTTTTATTTTTATATATATATACCCTCTTGTGACGATAATGTTATTATTTATAGCCTACTTTCTGATGATAGTGAAATGAAACCTTTCTCTGTATTTTTTTCTCTCTCAGCGCTTTCAAGATTCACAATTCTGGCACAGTTTTCCACTTTGCGTCTGAGAGACAAGATGACATGGGAAAGTGAGTGTTGTTGACAACTGAGGGCTTGAGTGGGTGGTTGGCAGGTGCTCTGTGTGGTTTGCTCCTTCTTTCCTATCAGACATCTATCGTCCTTATCTCCCCTTCTTCTTTTTATGTTTGTTACTCTCTTGTAACACCTCTAATCTTCTGGCGCTCATATGACCTTATGCAGTTGCGAGCGCTGTAAAACCTCTACTAAAACGAGGGCTTGAATTGTAATTAAAAATTTTGGCTTGAGAATTATAAAAAGATGAATAATGTTAGAATCTGGTGTGAATCTGAGCAAGTTGGGGAAAATATGCTTGTGTGTGTGTGTGAATGAGGGAGAGAGAAAGAGAATAAGTGGTGGAGAGAGAGAGAGAAAATAAGTGAGGGGGGGGGGAGAGAGAATTTGGCAGAAAGGAAAGGAT